TATGGAAGCCTAATTCAGTCATACATCATCACATTTCGTATTTCTGATTCCCACACGTGAAATCAAGAGACTATGAATATGGTGGCGCTTAACTTTTGTGCATGTGTATAGTACTATAGTGGTGGATTAACGGGGTTTTCACTGCAGTCAGCCTGTACAAATGAACATCAGATGTGCCAGAAACGTCGTCGTTCATTTGTTGTATCAGGTTACCGCACTTAAATGAGCTAGTTACAACTAAATATCTTGTGGTGAATACCAGCACAAAAGATATTAAAAGTTTCATCTGAAAGTGTTTATTCCTACTGTTTTAATTTCGAACACGTTGCATGTTACATTATCCGACTGATTTGATATCTGCAGGATGGTAGCATAATGTATGATTTGTTTCTCATAAATATATTCCATATGGTCTTTAGAATCTTGAAACATTACAAAAACTAGCTAGCTTATACATGCTAATTATTGTCATCCAGACTGCCTATAGTCTTGGCATAGTCTTTATCATACACTGGTATATGTTAGTTCCTTGTTACGTCTGAGTGATGGCCCTGCTTGTCATAGCGAACTTTTTGTTCCATGAGTTCGGTGAAGACGCGGGCTAGAATAGGTTTTCAGCAACCCATGATTGCAGTAAAAGGCGACTATGCTTGTCGTAAGAGGCGACTAACGGGATCGGGTGGTCAGGCTCGCCTACTTGGTTGATGCATGTCATCGATCCCAATTGCGGGGATCGATGCTCATGATGACAATCACTGGATTGTCTGGTCCAGATTCGATTCTGTACAGGCGACCGCCGCCATACAGCTGGAGTATTGCTGAGTGCGGCTTTAAACAACAAACAGACAAAGTTACGTTAAGCTTAATGGTGCAGTATTCAGTCTTTTTAAGGAGATTGGCACTGACATCTCGGCTGAACATAGGTGGTAAAGACATGTTGCAAAAGTAGTGTTCCCGTTTTTCAAGGAATCCCGCTACAGTTGTGTCACGCATATGTCAGGATTCGATGCTTGTGGGCTCCAAATTTCTCTGATTAAGCACTTTAGTTTACCAACACCACAAGTGTTTGGGCTACTTTCTAAATGGAGCCCTTTAGAATTCCCGATGTTGAAGAAGTTTCAGTCTGGGATGACACTTTTGTCTTAGAGTAAACACTGGGACTTGCTTCTTGCTGCCTTCCTCTTACATGACTACTCGTGGGTGTCACCATGTTTGTAAACGTCTAAGACCTGCATCGCTTTCCACTCACATCAAACTGACGTTCCGTGATACAACTGAAATACTATTCAAAGCGCCGTTACAACAAACGCACTCACTCACACACTTATAACACCGTTCAACATTTATTATCTTATATTTCAACTTCTAGAAGGGCCTCTTGATAAATGTCTATGTGTCCCTCTACAACGATGTACAACTGGACAGGTATACTCTGTTGTTATGGCAAAAGACATTTTGCCGATGTCTGTAATCTCTTCAATTAAATCTCCTTACACGGTATCTCAGTGGGCTAGCACTATAAATTCGGCATTATTCCGGACTGGTACAAGCAGCCACACACACGTGCATGCACGTAGATATTTAAGTGCAATCATCTTCTACGCGCCGTTCAATCCCATTCCACCTATCCTAAAACCGTATTCCCTTGTTATAAGCTACAGCTCATAATATTTGTCAAGCACTGTATGCAGTTGACGGCAGCGTTCACCGTCGACAAATTCAAATTGATGAATAAGTAAAGTTTAGTAATTTTGTAATTGTTTTCTGTAAACGTGGGGGTACGGATGGCACAGTTGTCTAAGGCGCCGCGATTCGCTGTGCAGACTTGCGTGCCTTGGGCACCTATGATTGTGGGTTCGAATCCCGGTTCACACTGATTATGTTTCTAGCTTTGTCAGAACCATACCCGTGCTCGTGGATTTCACCGAAGTGGTAAACGTCTGAGACCTGCATCACTACAGGCTTTCCTCCCACATTAAGCTGACACGCCGTGATATAACTGGAGTACTGTAAATAGCGGCGTTAAACCCACCTCACTCACACTGTTAACATGTATATATTCCGCATTAATGCAAATGCTCACGACGTTGCACATCGAAGGCAGATACGATAGTGTACTTGACACTTGCCATATGCTTGGCATTCTGACTAAGAGCTGTTCCAAGGTAACAATCTGGCGTGTGTCAATAGTACGGCCATGCCGGTGAATCATCCTGACAGGCTACACTGGACAGACAACATGTAATAATGTACCTCGTTGGCGAACAGTTCTTGTGCGACACCAATGGACGGTTTACAGCAGAACAAATGCCAGCATACTGATTACATCGCAAGATAATTTCAAATAGAAAGTACTGAACCTCACATCATGCCAACAAATAATGAAAAAGCAATATTCACTGTTTGTATAAACAAAGTAAATATATATTGAGCATTTGTCATGCCACCCTATACCAGCAAATGGCAAGAGGTTTCTGTATTGCCACACAAAGCATAGCCAGTCTCCCAGACCCTTGTGAATACATAGAAAAAGGAGTCCAACTCAAATCGAGAATGAGTCCAAACATTGCATCAGCTCTGAAATTCTGATTGTTGGGGCTCCATTTGAATGTTGTTTTTGTAGGTATATATTTTTAAATAACATATTTGTTTCTGGGACTATATGTCAGTCACAAGTCACAAACAGTTCATGTATCTCTGACCTTTTGGGGTGAGATGTAGCTTTAATGTTGAAGGTGACAAGTACATATAGTTATTCCCTTATTCTGTTCAGATGACTTATGATGGTAGACCATCTTTGGAACACGCTAAAATAGTAAACTAATCAAAGCATAAGCGTCAGTTCCTTTGACCATGCTCCTAGATTTTCTTAAAGGTATTGTTCCGAGGCAAGGTATATATGACACCCTTAAAATGAAACTTTAGATGATATTGATGATTCAAATCTTATTTCCTCCTTAAAACTTTACTTTGTAGCATTTTTCATGAAAGTATTTTTGTGTTTGTATGTTGTATCCTTTTTGAATGTTTTATTCCTAGGCTGGATGGAAATGTAAGAGAGCATCGTTAGTTCAGTTTGCTGCGTCAGTGCCTTCTTACCGTATTCAACGAAAAAATCTGCACACGATAATACAGACATTGTAATTTAAACATAGTGACACCAAAACAATGAACATATTTAGGAAAAACACAATTTATTTATTTACAGATGTAATGATATACATCATTTTAGATGAATAGTTATGTTTGTTTCACTTTATTAATACGTGTAATAATGAAAATATATTAATCGTCATAAAATAATCAAATAGGTACGGTATAGATATGATTCAAACAGCACGCTTATGAACATATATTAGTGTTTTTGGTTAATACAAAAGAACGATAAAAGAAACAGTCGGAACTGTACTCTCCAACGCACAACACCATTTGTCAGAACAGGGTAATATTAAATGGACAGTATCAATGACCAAGGTACTCTCAGTATACTGACTTGTTTTGTTTTTTTGTAAACGCACTCAACATACAATTGGTGTCATCACTGTTTTCAGTGATGCATTCATATAATATTCACCGTTAGTTTGCCTTTTACGCCAAATGGAATATGTCTCAGGGGATAATCGAGACTGATTATTTTCTGGCGTTCACATTTCATATTATTACAAAATGTAGTGAGATGTGTATTGAGATTGTCTGGTGGTATCTCTGTTGAGTTCTTTGCACAACGGTCGTGTATCGGAAATAAGTCCTCTTCCATCGCTGGTATGAAGCGGTGCAATAGTGAATCACGGAGTGTAAGATACGGCGTTTAACCTTAAATGCATTACTTACTTCTTTTGTTTACAATATACTGGTTCGACTGTTGGTTTTCGAAACAAACGGTTTTACTCGTTTAAATAGACTGGAACCCAGTCAAATTTTATAAAACGTCCTTCGTGTTTAGGTGCAAAGGAAAAGTGAGAAGTGCTGTAAAATTCTGAAATTAACAGTCACGTTATTTTTTATGTATAAGATGGTATTTGGCCAGACGTTAAACCTTTAGGGAGTAATATATAATGCCATAAGTACATAAGTACAAATAATATATATATATATATAATATAATATATATATATATATATATATATATATATATATATATATATAAGGCGCATAGACATCATCCGGGGTAGAATTGGTTTTCAGCAACCCATGCTTGCCGCAAAATGCGACTATGCTTGTCGCCTTTTGACTTACGGGATCTGATGGTCATGCTCGCTGATTTGGTTGGTACATGTCATCGTATCCCAATTGTGTGGATCTATGCTCACGATGTCAATCACTGGATTGTCTGGTCCCGACTCGATTATTGACAGACCGCCGTGATATAGCTGGAATATTGCTGAGTGCGGCGTTAAACAACAAACAAACAGACAAACAGGAGCATAGACTCATTTAAGTCTAATGCTACTTATAATACTGTTCTGCAGACATGTTACAGTGAGTGTAAATGTTTTCTCAATAAGCCTATAGGTAACTGTGTTCATGGTTAAGTGGTTAATAAACAAGCACAGAATGCAAGGCGACCCCATGTTTCAATGTTTCAATCAAACTGTCCGAAAACCGTTCATTGTTTTAAATAAATTCGCGTAAACAATTGGGTACTCTTCAAACATATACAAATAGCCGACTTTCTTCTCAAAGAGAACCTACTGTTCTCGGTGCTGAACACTCGCAAAAGCCGAACTTAGTTGCACACTTGCAAAACGTGAACCCAGTAGAGCATGTAGATTGTTGTACACATTCAAAACCTGAACTCAGTAAATGTTTTAGACAGTTGGGGGCATGGGTGGCCCAGTCGTCTTAGGCGCCGCGATTCGCTGTGCAGAGTTGCGTCCCTTGGACACGCCGGAAACCTATGATTGTGGGTTCGAATCCCGGTTCGACCCGATTATGTTTCTAGGTTTGTCAGAACCATACCCGTGCTCGTGGGTTTCACCCAAGTGGTAAACGTCTGAGACCTGCATCACTTCGGGCTTTCCTCCCACATTAAGCTGACACGCCGCGATATAACTGGAATACTGTTAAAAGCGGCGTTAAACCCAACTCACTCACTCACTCACTTTAGACAGGTGTTCACTTGTAAAACATAAACTCAGTAAACGCTGTAGAGTGTTGTACGCTTGCGAAACCTTAACTCAGTAAAAATTGTAGAGTGATGAACATTTGCAAAACCTGAACTAGTAAATGCTGTAAAGTGTTGTACACTTGCGATACACGGACTCAGTGAACGCTGTAGATTGTTTGTATTCTTGCAAAACCTATGCTTTTAATGCCTCCTTGATCATCAAAACAAGCCTCATTGACATTCCTGGTTAAAACAGATTCACAGGATGCTGGTCATAAGAGGATAGATAGATCGAGTGGTTAAATTCAGTCACTTGGTTCATGGCGTGTCATCGTACTCCGACTGCGTGGATCGTTGCTCATAATGTCAATCACTGGATTATCTGATCCACACTCGATTATGTAGAGGCCACCGTCATATAGCTGGAATATTGGTAGGTGCAGTGTTGAACAACAAACAAACAGACAAAAAGAACACTTGTACCATTATAAAACATTGGTATGTGTGAGACTGTGGTCACTTGTGTTGTCCGTCTAAGTACTTTTCTGTGTCATCAGTCCGCCCTTCAGAGTGTTGTAGTCTTTTACGACGAAGCCTTTGCTCTGCTGACGATAGGTTAGAGTAAAAAGTGTTAAAATTCGATGCAATGATAGCGATGGGTAAAGCTAGCAGTAAGATGCCAGATAATGCACACATAATACCCACAATGTATCCCGTCCATGACTTGGGGTAGTAATCGCCATATCCTACAGTTGTCATCGTAACAACTGCCCACCACACCGCAATCGGGATGTTCTCGAACGCGTCCGAGTTCGTCGCAACTTCCGCGAAGTAAACAAGAGTTGCGTAAATAACGACAGCCATTGTCATGGAAACCAGTAGGAGACCGAAAGCTTCCATACTCGCCGACAGCGTGAACAATAGTAACTTGACTCCTTTCGATGTTTTACCTAAGTGGAACACTCTGAGAATGTTCAGACAAAACAACGCCCTCAGGACGGTGTGGCCAACTTGCGCATGCTCAATAGCTGGCACGTGATCCAGTATAACTGAGCACCACATTACGAATGTTAATAGGATGTCCATAGCGTTGAGAAAACACTTGAAGAACGATCGCTTCGAAGGACTAAGCAGAAACCGGACTATAAGTTCAAAGGTAAAGAAGAGAAGACAAATGAGGTCAATGACGTAGATTTCGGTGTTCATTTCCGTGTTCAGGAGCATGTCCAAGACGGAGGTGCTGTTCCAGTTCGGGTCTAGATGCTCCATGGGGATGCGCATTTCCGGGGACATGCTGAGACATGCTGTGACGACGGCCACTGTCACCATTATTATATAGAGGCTGAACCACAACTGAAACAAAGAGAGCATATCATGTTATGTCATATTGAATTCACTACCTCCTCCTCGATAAGAATGTTCTATATGTGTGTATCACACATTTTTTTTACGACACGAGTCAAGTAAGAATCTGTATTTCACACAACGAATTGTAATTGTCTCTTCATGGTTAGTGATTGCGGACGAAAAACATCGGTGTATTATGAAGAACCGTCTCATGGTATCCGTATAACGTCAGGAATGTTAGAACATCATATTCTGTAATGCCATTTAATCTGCTTCGCGTGGACTTTCGTCATCTCACAGATCTCTCCATCCATATGGCTAATAATATGACAAATATGGGCAAGTAAATACATTCACCAACGCGCGTGCGTGCGTGCGTGTGTGTGGGATAATAGAATATTTACATACACACACACACACATATATATATATATATATATATATATATATATATATATATATATATATATATTATATTATCATTTAAGATTGTGATCCAGAAGACATAATAGAAAAATGCCAATACGTTTCATGGTTTCATGATTTTTAATAACATTTCTGGTTCATCGATAATTTGATTGTGTGGTCTGTTTTACAGGCCACCGTCGCATGGCAGGAGAGCTGCTGCGCGGCGTCATGCACAACACATACTTTTTGTGCTTGTCGTGCGAATGTACCGGTACCCTTCTCAAGAACGTCTGATGTCGTCATTGATTTTCAGTGGTCCTTCATATAATTTTCACATCTATTTTGACCTTACGTCAAAACTCCAATCTACTTCGGTGGATAATCTTCATCCTAATTTTTCTCTTGCATTGACAATATATATACGTTGGGTCTATATACGTCTTGGTTTTTTTTTATTTAAACATATTTTATTCAGATTGAAATGGATTGGGAACAAGTTATCCAACTTAGGACTCTCTCTCTATATACGTTGCCTACGTTGGGTTATATATATATATGTATGTATGCCTTATGTATGCTGAAACTTTTCAATTGAAAACAAGCCATTCCGACGATAAGGACAATTACTTACAGTTATTACTAATATTGCAAAGGGCGTTTTTCAAGAAATATCCATTTTGCTAGTCACTATGTTTAACATCCATGTACCAATTTGGAGTAAGACATGTAGGCAAGAAGTGGGCTTTAACATCACCATTTCCTGCTGATCTGTTTCTTTATGCATTATGAAACGGAATTTGTACTCGTATTCCCAAAATCAAAACATAGGAATTTGGCCAGGACGTTGTTCTTAATGTTCGGGTATATCGACCATATATCTTTCAATAATGACCCAATAGCCAATGTACCTACCTAAACTAGAAATAAATGACTTCAACTTTCCCATAGTCAGTTTCCCTTTTATATCGAGCAATATTCCAGAGGTCCAGCATTTAGAGTGTCAGCATTCTACAACTCTTGAGGTAAAATCGAGCATGCTCTTCCTTCGAAGATTTCAAAGATCATCATAAAAGATCTGGGTTACAAAATTCACGGCCTTACCAAAACTTTCGAAATGCCATATTGTGCACATGCACGTGGAGCACATTTCCAAATTTGATGCTAGTGACCAAAATTATGTCCGATGCAAGTCCGTATCGTGCCTTGTACCATAATTTATCTATTTCATGTTGCCGTGTTTATTCAGGTGAACATTTGACGGGCTTGTGCATATATTTGGGACGGGTGCCACCGTTGGGTTAGGATGTGCTCACCTTTTCGCGAACACCCGGTCTCAAAACTCTCATAGTGATTCATGCACACATGTTCATGATAAAATCGGAATCGTATAATGGACTAAGTACTTTTATCAGAGATAGTTTTGATGATGGAAAGGATACTTGAGCAACATAATTAGAATATAGACTACAAGAATATAAAGGACGAGACAATAATTACAAAACTTAACCCCTGCTCTGCTTCCCCATGTCCATGGATAGATAAACTTTAAGAGCATGTCATGAGTTGAACATGTTGAAGATATATTATGTGAACTATACTGAACCAAATTAAGAACTTCACAATCCTAAAATTTTAACATTTCGACCAGTTATCATTTTGGGTCCTTATTGTGTGTTTAAACAGTAATGGTAACGTATTGTCGTCAGATAGCACCAGTTTTTGTGCAGGTAAATCGATCAAAATCATGTGCACAGCACTATAGTGGCAAAAGTGGATTTTCACGTGCAACTGGTCACGTGGCCATAGTACCACACGTGTTTTCAGCCATACTTGTTAGCAGTCATTAACAAAAAAAGTAAAACAAAAGTCTTTACGGCCATTTGTCATGCCACGCCTTTCAAATGTGCAACGTGAACGTGCCATCGGCATGTTGAAGACGGGAACGTCCATAGCTGAAGTCGCAAGAACGATGGGTTGTAGTCGACGGACTGTTTAGGATTTACAGACGTGTCTACAGCAAACGGGTACAACCGCTGATCGCCATCGGCCAGGTCGACCACGTGTAACGTCTTACGTCACCTCCGTAACCGATTTTTGACGGCTACATCAACCAGAAATGAACTGTTTAGGGGTAGGCTGAGTGCGCAAACTGTTCGAGCCCGTCTGAGAACTGCTCACCTTCAAGCACGACGGCCATACTGCGGGCCGATTCTGACTCAATTACACAGACGTCAACGTCAATTGTGGGCACAGCGACACTTACGATGGCCTCAGAGGAATTGGAATCAAGTCGTCTTCAGTGATGAATCCTGATTTAATCTTCGATTTGCTGATGGTAGGGCGAGGGTGTGGAGGCGCCGTCATGGACGTTACGCCCAGTGTTGTGTACAGGAAGTTGACAGATTTCGAGGCGGAAGTGTCATGGTGAGGGGTGCTTTCTGTGGCAATGCACGTTCCAGGCTTCTTGTCATCCGTGGCAACCTCAACGCTGCTGCTTACCGCGACCAGGTACTGGCACCAGAACTTCTGCCTTTTATGGCAGCACATGGACCCCGTTTGATCTTCCAACAGGACAATGCCAGACCCCACACAGCAATTTTGACAAGGAATTTCCTTCAGAATGCTGGAGTCAACGTCATGGACTGGCCGTCAAGGTCTCCCGACCTCAATCCCATCGAACACGTCTGGGATGCTCTTGGCAGAAGTCTGCGCACTCTCCAGAACCAACCACAGAATTTGCAAGATCTTGGCACCATTTTGCAGCAACAATGGCGTCGTCTTCCCAATCATGTGTTCACAAGTATCACTAGGTCCATGCGGAGGCGTTGTGTGGCAGTTGTCAACGCACATGGTGACCATACACGCTACTGAACTTGTGTGCCATCAGATTATCGTGCTTGGGACTTATGATTTAAACTGCTGATGTTATTACCGAATACCGTAGGTGCTTGGAACAAATTATGGTTACCACCGTTAATGAAAATCCTTCTTTGGACATTAATGATTAAAAATTACCTTCTCTGATACATTTGTCCGTTGTATATTTTATATGGGATTACTTTTAAAAATGTGAAGTTTTTAATTTGACTCAGTATACATTGTGTGAACATCAAACTTGAACTGCGCATTTGTAAATCTTCAAAGAACGAAACTAACATGTACCCTATCAGTTAAAGTGCAAATGCAACATAACAATAATACTATCCATGTAACTGCGAAGAACATACGATACATATCATGTAATGAGCCTGTTTTTCTACTGATATTCTGTTTATTAATAATAAATAAATTGCTTAACATAACATTGTAGAAGTGCACTTGACTTTTTGAGTCAGCATACCATTGTTGTACTGCTGTTATACCTCTCCCTATAGAACATGTCTGGGGGAGATGGAAATGACGCCTGCGACAGGGTCAGAATAGGCCGGAATCGCTAACTCATTGGTTGACATTCAAAACAATATCCCCCAGGATGTTTTCAATCATCTGGTGTCTTCGATGCACTCCCGCTGCCTCGCCTGTGTCTACGCAAATGGTGGACACACCCGATATTGACATTGTTAATTGAGTTGTTACACCAACCCCTTCGAGGGCGTGTCGCTCTGTCTTCTGAAACCAGGTATGTGTTTTGACAATGTATTATTATGATAAAAGATTGATCAGACGAATAATAACATATTGTGATGTTATTTTCCTAGAACATGTACACTACTTTGTGTATTAAGCACACATATTTTTCTTAGACTAGTATCAATAGAATGATTCAAAGATCAATGATGGAAATAGATATATTACAAGAAGGAAATTGTGTAAAATGTTGTCTTGATGTTTAGGCAAGACAACAAACCATCATGTTTACTGGCAGGCAACGCCACTGTAAGTAACAATAAGTACGAGTATATCTCATGAACAGGTATCTTAACTACAGATACTTGGTATTTACATGACAACAGAAATTGTAAGACTTTAGTGTTATAGTAGCTGTATCAACCATTGTCATGTTTGTACCAACAAGACCTTTTTTCTCATTAATTTATTTTGTTTTGTAAACATCAGGTGATCATTGTATCTAAGTATATATATACTTCTGCATGTTGAGACATTTACAGCTGCTGTAGAAAAAGCCTACCAAAAACAGTGTACACCCATATTTGATGGTGACTAAAAATGAAACAAACAAGAAATAGTTACTCGCTGGTGGTGTATTTGATTCAGATGTTATAGTTGTGTTTTGGAACCTGAGATTGCAGTGATGTAGCAGCCTAGTAACGTTTTGATTACGTTTGTAAATTTTTTATCAAATCCAATTTTCAGAGCATGATTTCTTTTGTTCGTCAGTTTATATGATCATATCAACCATGAAATAGAATAGATATATACAACAATAATGATGTAGTCGTTCTATGCATTACGCATTAGTCCTAAGCAAGTCAGCTACCACTTCTTCTGGTAAAAACATACGCTTACATATAGACGTATTTGTGTTTATAGTGTTAGCCTGTGGTTGTTTCAGGACGACGTTTCGAGCGCCTGTAGTGTTTTCGATGGTATTCAGTGACATGTGAAATCATAAAATGCATTCAGGTGTTATCATATGA